TTCGTGTTGTGATATATATAATGGCGAAATAAAAATTTTGTTCTCTAAAAAAAATTGATTTTAATCACGAATTTTACNTATCGATTACTTCTAACGGGGGATAAATAAAAATTGTTCGTGTTGTGATATATATAATGGCGAGATAAAAATTTTGTTCTCTAAAAAAAATTGATTTGCTCGCGAATTTTAATCGATATCGATTACTTCTAACGGGGGGTAAATAAAAATTGTTCGTGTTGTGATATATATAATGGCGAAATAAAAATTTTGTTCTCTAAAAAAAATTGATTTTACTCGCGAATTTTACTCGATATCGATTACTTCTAACGGGGGGTAAATAAAAATTGTTCGTGTTGTGATATATATAATGGCGAAATAAAAATTTTGTTCTCTAAAAAAAATTGATGTTAATCACGAATTTTACGCGATATCGATTACTTCTAACGGGGGGTAAATAAAAATTGTTCGTGTTGTGATATATATAATGGCGAAATAAAAATTTTGTTCTCTAAAAAAAATTGTTGCAAATGTTGTTTCTTCTTTTTTCTTCGATTATTCTGGAATAAAAATTGTTCTCCTCCATCGATATGATATATATACGTTATTACATACGTTTTCTTTTCGTGATGCGAATAAAAATTAAGTAAAATTAAATAAGAGAAGAAAAATTTTATCTTTCATGATAATATCTTGATATAAATATATCAATAAATAAAATTATTGATATATAATAAAATAAATAAAAATTCGTGATTGATATAAATGTTGTGATATATATAATGGCGAAATAAAAATTGTTACAAATGTTTGTTCTTTTTTCTTCGATGTATTCTGGAAACACGAATAAAAATTATTCTCCTCAATCGATATGATATATACGTTTTCTTTTCGTTATTTCGCGATGCGAATAAAAATTAAGTAAAATTAAGTAAGAGAAGAAAAATTATCTTTCACGATAATATTTAACTTTTTGATACAAATATATTATACGTATAGATATATCATCAAGTATGATATAGTATAGTATATTAATGCATTTTGTAGATTTAAATTAAAATTTAAATTTTAAAGACAATTGTAACGAGAGAAAGGAAACAAATGACGATACGAGAAAGGAGAAATGCTGAAAGTTATACGCGATACGATATGGAGAGCGAACTAAATATAAATGTACACGCTGGTAGATATGGACGTTTAATTTCAGAACAAATAAATTTATCTACATTTCTACGTATCTTTTTTGATACACCGAGATAAGTCAATGGATGTCAATGTAAATGAGCGAGATGTCACGCTCAATGTTAATATTCATCGACATTGTTAACGATAACAACTTACTTTCACCTTGTAATTTAAACAATATTAAATTTTCTAACTTTGTTCCATTCTTTTTTTTTATAAAATTCAAAACTTGTATCAAAAAAAAAAGAAATAAAAAAGTAAGCAAAATTGTACGAAATAATTAATTACCTCAGTAATTAAGTAAATTAATTAAATAGTTAAAAAATCAAACTTGATACGTTTTTAAAATATGTCATCATAATTATATTAATTCTTCGCTATATTAAAATTACAGTTAAATTTGTATTAAAAACAATACGTATTTTTCTTTATTTCTATTAGATCTTTAATTTATAATCTGATTTCACGTAGAAATTATTCAACAATCAAAGATAAATACACGTTAAAATAAATAAATGCTAAAAGTTCATCAAGCTAGAAACAACAGTGTAACTCTGTAAAAAAAGAAAAGTAAAAATTTCTCCCTTGTGAATCACGTATTCACAAGTCAAAGATCGATAAAAAATTTTATTAACTTATCAAATACGACTTACGTATCCTCCAAGAAACAATTATTGGTAATTCGAATTAAGAAACAGAAGTATTCACCATTGAATGGCCATTCATTTGCTCGGTCGGTGTTTTCGACTCGAAAGTCGTCGATATTTCTTCCGTGTGCGTCATAATCGTGGCAAAATCAATGGGAACCAGATCGAAGTAAACCTCGTTATACCTCAATGAAGATTCTTTTTTTCGCGTCGAATCTTTCTCATTTTTTATCCTCACATTTTTCGAAAGAATGGGATCAACGATCCTTTCTCCAAATATGCATGCACTTGAGTTTCTCGAGAGAGACGAATGTGGCGCCAAATCGATATGTAATTTCGAGAAGATATATCTCGATCGATATCTCGCGTCGTTCAGAGGGACAACGTCAATTCGTTAGCGTTACTCTCGTATCGTATCGTCGAAGAAATTCATTCTTTTTTCTCTTTCCCTTTCTTTCTCTCTCCTTTTGTTTATATTTCGGACTATATTGCGTTTATCGTTCCGTTCAGAAGTGCAATCGATAAAGTTCAGGTTCATAAAAGTGTGGAAAACGTCATTTTGCCTTATTTTATTACTCGTGTTATTGTGCATCAACATAAGTTGTTCGTATGTCGTGGCTCTTTTAATCTCGTATCGAATTCTGTTTAGTCTCGCAGCTCTGACTCGTTGAAATCTTGAGATTATTTTGAACGAACGTTTTATTTGCAAAAATTGTAAGAAATTGATACGATTTTTCGTCGCTTTTTTTTTTATACACGTATTTTATCGTATATATATATATTGTAGAATTTACATATTCTCGATGCATGAATGGTTGTCGAGAATGTTAAAAAGAAATCGTGTTTTCGAACGATCTTTTACTGACAATTAAAATTAAAAGATAAGATAAGATAATTCTTAATCAAAATTTTTCATCAACGATATTCATTAATATTATATTCATTAATATGTCTCTATTTTCTTTGTCTTTTTTCATTGGTGAACTGTGAAGAAAATTTTATTCGATTTTCTCCTCTTTCTCCTCTTATCGCGAAACAAACGTTTCTCAACGTTTAAGAGTTCAGTATACTTTTCTCCTCCGTTCAAAGTTCCTCCACTGTCGGTGGTTAAACACAATCTCTTCTCTTTGCAAGATTTTCTTTTTTTTTTTTTTATTGATTAACTTTCCACGTTTCTTCTTCCAAATTCGATATGCATATTTTTTTGAGAGTTTCCGCACTTTCGATACAGTGCATAAAAATATTTCTGATCTCTTTTTTTTTATTATTATTATTCTTTCGAAGTTTCAGCACTGTCAATGGCAAAATGTTTATATAATTTTTTTTTTTTAAATTTTCTTTGATCAATGAAATTTTCACGTCTCTTCATCAGAGTTCAATAACGATATTTATATAAAAATTCTTCCACTCTTTTCTCAATTGGTTGAAATTCAAAATTCAAAATTCTCTTCTTTTCTTAAAACTTTTTCGAATCAACAAATATATCACAAGATTGTCAAAATTCAAAGTTCTTTCTTCTCCTCAAAATTCTTTTCGATCGAGCAAATTTTCACAGAATTATCAATATTCAAAATCCTCTTCTCACTTCTTCATCATCAAATTTTCACCAAATCGTCAAGTTTCAAAATCCTTCTCTCATTCTCTCGTCAAAATCTCGATCTCTTCTCTCTTCCTCGATCAATTTTCACAAAATTGTCAAAATTCAAGATCCTTCTTCCTCTTCGATCCCAAATTTCCACAAAAACTCATTCCTCGAGAGACTTCTTCGATCGATCGAATTTCCACAAAATTCTCCTCTCTTTCTCTTCCTCTCTCCCTTTCTCCGTTCAAAATTTCCTCGAGATAGTGCAAAAATTCACAACGCGAAAAAGCGGGAAGAAAATCGCGAGAGTAAGGTACAAGGTGTCCCTCCTGAACAGGGCCACCGGCGATTCCCTCGCATCGAAAATCCTCTTTTTTTTATCTTCAAATCCCTCCTTCCAGATTTGGCTGCGCGAAGGGAGGGGAAATTCGGGCTGTCCACACCCTTGGCACTCACTGGCGGTTGGAAGCGGCTTGCAGCTGGACGAAAACGTGGCCGAAACGGGCACGATTTTTCGGAAAACGAAGGCTCGCAGCAAGAGCAGAAAGACAGAAAAGGAGCCGGCACGACCGGCCGGCTTACACACACTGACTTCTGACTGGTCGAGCTAGTAGGTGACTCCAGGGACCCCTTCCATAACGCATAGCAACTGCTCGTAAGACGACTGATAAGTTCTTGCATTCTGTTTAGGGATCGACGGATGCGGTCCTGATGCGTGCCACCGTTCCATCCACACGCGTCCATTATTTCTTTCGTGTGTATTCTCGCGTGTCTCGTGCCAACCTTCCGTATCGGTTAATTTTTCCTTTCCTTTGTCGTCGAAGGGGAAGAGACGAGAAGGGAGAGGGGAGAAGGGGAAAAGCAGAAGGGAATTTTTCACGCGTGGCGCCACGACTTTCCGTAGAAAGTCCAAGTAGGAAGGAGAGGTTACGTTGAGACCGAAGTGTCGTGTTCGGTGTCTGTGGGTAGGTTTTTCTTTTCTTCTTCTTCTTTTTGTTTTTTCGTTTGTTTGATCAATCGATTTGTTTTTGTTCGTTGCGTAGAAGCAACGACTTGTTGTTCGGGATTAATACGAGAGTATCTTTTTCTTTTGTGACCAATGTTTGAGTGATTTGCAAAGGTATTTATTCATTATAGGTTATGTTTTTGACTAGTTTTAGCTTGCTTTGGATCAAGTGAGAATTGATCTCTGTTGAATTTTAACTTTACATCGTGATGTATTGATAAATAAATTTTTTGATTATATTAATTTTCTCACATTATGTTGCGAGAATTATCATAAATAATGTTTTAATTGTGTATTGATAATAAGAATTTTTGAATGATATTAATTTTATGCTGAATGTTTACAAAACGTGTTTATTGTTGAGAGAATTATTATAAATAATATCTTTGATTAGTTTTAATTGTGTTAGATTAAATAAGAATTGATATTTGAATTTTTACATTATGGTGTATTGATAAAAAAATTTTAAAAGTAATATTATAATTATAATATATATCATTGAATCAGTGTTTTTTATTTTTATTATTAAAAGATTTTGTAATGAAGAATTCTTCAATTTTAATTTTTTTTTCTTTTTTTACTTTTAACTTAAAAAAAATTAAATATACATATATGAGTCAATGTCTAAAGAGATTAAAATTGTAATGTGAAAAAATTGTTATATTCTATGGATGAAAAATTATTATAATATTATATGATAATGAATAATGATATGATATTTCAAATAAATACTGCATTATTATAATTTATATGGAAATTATTTTCCACAATGATACACTATTAGATATTATATCCAAAAATAATCATAATTTTCTTTTTTCGAAGATAATAAATACAAAGTACACGAAAAAAATCTGAAATATTGTATACAACACATCTTTTTAAAATAACGAAATGTTAAATTTTCATAACATAATTATAATATGAATCGATCGAATATAATGCTTCAAACATGAATAATTTGAATGTAATCAATAAGAAATATCGAAAGCGTGGATAAAATTAATTAATTATCGCTCGACGAAAAAAAAATAACCTCTCTATGCTAACAACAAACGATCTATGTAAAAGAACCGATCATGCAAATTAAATTTAACGTTATATAGCGATGTCTAAATTGCGCCACGAATTTTTTCGATTATCTTTCACGCGGCACGATTATGCAAATTATGAACTCTCGTGACACACTACTAGTTTGTTACAAAACTCGGCGTGCCACTTGCACCCGTGCACGTGAAAATCAATTCCAAACGAGGCGCGTAGAGACTCGACGCTGTACTCGATGGGAGAACGCCCATAAGCGTTTTCATTCATTCATACCGTTTGAGCGCAGGTTTCTATATTTAACCATTCCCATAAGTTTGTGATAAATTCTCGGGGAAACGATAGGTCGCCAATACGTGCTGAAACGTGGCTTTCACCGTGAATCGTATTTCCCATACCACACTCTCCTCGCTATTCCTCGCGTTACGCTCACTGAATTGCTAATCAACCGACTGAAATTACCAACCTTTCCCACCTAGAGAAACAATTTTTCCCAATTGCACGGTTAAATGAAATAAAGGAGTGCCTTCTTCTAAAGTAAAGAAGAAAGGATGAATTTGAGTTGAACAATTTTTTAATTTCATTTTTTTCAAATTTAAATTTATACAAAGGATGAATTGTGAAAATTTTAAGTATAAGTTATACGATTATCTACATCCCCTTTTACAATCAAAAGTCTTAAGACACGTGTTTTAATTGAAAAATAACTTTGATATTTGAGATTGAAGATTATAAATATATTAGATTGGGAGATTTATATTATGTAACTTTAATTGTTACGTACAATTTAAAATTCACTATTATTTATTTTGTAATGTAATATATCAAGTTAGATGATGCATCTTCAATAGTGTATTTTTATCATTTCTTCTAATAGTTAATTCTGAAAACTTTTAAATCTGTACATTAGGGAGGAAAGAACAATCAAATATTGTAAGATTATTTTCTAATAATAATTTAATATTTTCTATTTTCTATATAATTTAATGATAATAATATTTTCTAATAATAATGAAAAAAACTTATTTTTAAGAAAAACAAATTTTTGTTTGCTATTAGAAAAAAAAAATGAATTTTATTTCTATAATCTACTTAATGTTGAAAATATGAAAATAAAGGGATTATTATGTATTAAAACTGCAAAGAGATCTGTATCATTGTGAAACAGAAATAATTAACGTGCAAATTGAAATGTGTCGTATTAAAATAATAATTAATGTGTTACCATCTGAAATTTATGATAAACAGTGTTTGAAAGTTATTTATCAAATTATATATAAGTATATGAATCATGTAACACATTAAGATTCTTGAAACTGAGATTGAATGGATAATATTTCTTTAAAATTAAAAAAAAAATATTGTAAAATTATATATATTTTTTTAGATAAATTCTTAAAGACAAGTTGTCGTGATAAAAGTTATATATAAATGAAAAATATTCAAAAGTCACGTATGATTGAATAATCGTGACATCGATATTAAAAATCATCGACATTCCACTATTCTACTTTATATTTCTCCATATGTATCTCTTTTCTAATTTCGAAGAAACTAAAATGAATGTTATTATAAATAATAATTTAGAATTATACAATCACAACTATATTATAGAATCACAATATAGAAGATCATAAACTAAATTATTAAAAACATCGATTGAAGTGCAATATGTTAAAACCATATTCTCTGCATTCTTTTTTAAATTTCGAAGATCTTTATCTGATCACAAATTTGTCAAAACACCAATTTCAACATCGGATATCACGTTACTTTACATTTGACTGATTTTGCTGTATCGTAATCGATATCACTCTTTCGTAAAAAAAATAAATAAAAATCACTAATTACACTTTTTTCGCTTCAATTTTATCTCTCGCCACAGATCGAGTAGCCAAAGTGTTCCTCACTATCGACACAATCCAAATAATCGAATACGAAACGGGGACAAACCGTGTGTTGTAACCGGTTGTAGCTCGTTGTAAACCAGCGAATTTTACAGTTTTAAAAAGAAATGAGCGCGGCCATTTGATGCGTCGCACGCTCGTAAATCAAGCGAGGATGCAATATTATTAAATTATGCGCATGCGCGATTCCTGCTATTACCGACCGTGGAACTGCAATCGATCTTATCGGTCGATTTCATCGATCTTATCGCGACAGTACGAAACGCCTACGCGTTTGTAATCGTTGTAATGTGTTTCGGCTTCGACCGAACACGACCTACGCCAACACGGCCACGCTGCACGCCTAGGCAACCTCGTTTCTCGGCCGAGATAAAGGGAGAAAGCACGAGCGGGTCTCGAGCGCGCAAATAACGAAATGAGGCGTAAATACTGCCTCCAGAACGGTTGCCTCCCGGCTTCAACCATGGAACGTACATGTATGAGAGATCCGCGAGAGAATCCAACGATGTCTCCGAGTTATATGAGTTATATATTGGGCGACTGGCAGACGAGATTGAATCTTCTAATAGAGAAGAAGATGTCAACTCGGTTGGATCTCGTGATGGAGATATAGAATGTCTTATAAAAGTCTTATCGTCTAATCATCTATCTTGGTTGATAACATAATAACAATTTGTATGGGCGAGTTTACAGGGACAATTTATATTTTTTATAAAATATTTGTAATCTTCCAATAGAGAAGAAGATATCAACTCGATTGGAGGATAAAGATGTTACACTGCTGTGTGTAAAAAATTTTATCGTCTATAGTTGAATCATCTATCTTAATTGGCAAGTTTATAACGATATATATATATATATTTTTAATATATTAAAAATTAATAAATAATATTTTTTAATATATGTTTGTATACATTGTAATATAATATGGCTTTGAAATTCGAAAAGAAGATAGTGAAGATTGAATCTTCTAATGAAAGAATCGACTCGATGGGAAAAAATTTACGCGTAAAAATTTTATCATGCCTCTATACAGAGACAAAATCGATAACATATTCCACAAAATTTAAATACGTAAAAAGAAGAAGAAAAAAAATATTCGTATTAAAACAAAAATATTTTTCACGCGTATGATATAAATATAATAATATCGATTCTGAATAGGCATCGAATCTACGATTACAATAGAAGTGATAACTTCGATTTTAGCAAAAGAGAAGAAAGTTTCATTCATTCCTGTACTTTATCGAAATAGGTAGACGATAATGGCCGACCTAAATCAAGTCACAACGAAGATAGCGTTAAAAACACTCAGGCTATATCTAATTTTAACTTCATCGTGGTTTACG